GGATATATTATCGATTCTTATGTTTGTAATATTTTATCAAATGCTTTCATAACCCCTAGAGTACTTTGTTAATTTTGACCCCACTCAAAAATATGTGAAAAAGAAAAGAGCGTTAAAAATGGGACGTCCGTGTACGTTAATTAACTGTAATGCGTTTTACTTTCATGACGTTTTTTTTTGCTTGCGTCACAAAGCAACAACAATAAAATGAAAGAAAAATTTGATGAAAATTAAACAGCACAAATCTTCATGTGTAAAATATGATATAATTAAGGAAACATATAGAATAAGAAAGATGGCTGCCCAAGCGTGACAGTTAACAAGCTAGTCTCATAAATTGCATTTTGTCATTCTATTATCAAACATTGTTCTAATATTGTTGTAGAGTAGTTTCACAGTGGAGGCTTATATTTCACTAAGTCGGTCCTAAAAGAGGTTCGACGTACAAAACGTTAGAAACTTGAAATAATAGTTAATGAGGCAGCAATGTAGTTGTGGTGGTTGATACTTTAAGGTCTGACATCGACTGACTCACCAACTCATTCTGAGCCCACTGGCGACTGCTGCTACTACTACTTATCTGTGGGAGAGTCTATTAACAATAGAATAGGTATGTTCCGGTATAACAAATACATAGACATTTATATATATAGATAATATTATAATAATATATAGATATTTATAGATCAATGAATAATATAATATTTAAATAAAAAAGTCTAATAATGTTTTGTAATTTCTTCTCGCTTTTCTTCACTAGCCTCTTTAGGAGTTTTCGTAGTTTCATTTCTGTTTCTGCTGTCATCACTGTGTCATCTGCATATCTTATGCTAACATTGTGACCGTTAATAATGAATCCTGATAGAACTTTTAGATTTTTTAGAATCACCTCACTGTATCGGTCGGATATGTCCGGTCAAAAGATACTTTAGCGTAATTATACTTATATTACCACTATCTCCTCCTACGACAGATTATGCAATAATATGAAAGAGTACTCTCCGAAGAGTCTGGCTTTGAGTGTCCGTAATTATTTCTCTCTGGTTGCATGTAACAACTCACTCCAACGTTGTTGGAGTGATTCCTTGATCGATGATAGCCTGAGGTTGATGATCTGCTCTCTTGATCAAATAGCGTTGGTAAGGAGCACTCCTCACCCTTTTCTTGTGTAGAAATCTTTGGTCTTATGCTTTGTTATATACTGTACCTATGAAAACTAATGTGTATATCCCAATCCTCATAAATACGTTAGGCTCTATTGTGGGGGCAATATGCTGTCTACGCCAGCAGCGTGAGCTGTCAGCGTGGGAAGCTCTAGCCGTATCGAACTCTCTGCCTTCAAGCGGAAAAGAACCCGGAGGACAGATGTTAGACAGATACCCGATCCCGCGTATGCGGTGTTTACGGGCCATTGTTGCCCCTCCCCCCAAACATGGAATTTGGCCTTGTTCCAAATCCTACCTCGTGGGAGACAGGTAAATATCGTAATATGCTGTCTAAGTAGTCCACCACGTGCAGTGGTTTACCTACTTCACGCTGTTGGCGAGTATTTTTTGTTGATCTTATAAAGATTACCATTTCATTTCCAACCCCTGTTTTGGTTATTCCTCATTTAGTAACCCTTCCTAGATTACAACATGCTTTCTTGTTATTTTTTTTTTTTACCAGCAAACTCTTCTGGAATATGAGGTCGTAACCCGACACTAGTGTTTTATAGAATTATATACCAGCAGTATTAAAGAATGATTTTCTCATCGATAATATGGTTTTACTTGTGTCAGATTCCAAACTGGATTTTATATGATGAGTAATTAATTACGCATTTTTAAATTTTCAAGTAAATTCTTAACTGATTTTTTAAAAATATACGTTTTGAATTATATATGTATAAAAAGTGTCACCAATTCTGAAAGTTTGTAAAGCTAAAACTAGTCACTTAGTATACTTTTATAACAGACAACAGTTGATACAGAATTGGATCCTCATATATTTTCTTATTTCCCAAGTATTTTCATAAGAATAAGAAATACTTTATTTAGAATGTTCAGAAAAAGTACGGATTTTTAAAAAAGTTTTCGCGGGACTATTATTTATTTTATCGATTATTTTCAGGGCAAAGCATATATTCCAACAGCCGTTTCTGTAAAATATTTTATTGACTCTATTCTTGGTAGATCTTTTATTTGAACGAGAATTTTCAGAAGAGATTTCAGATTTTCATTTAAACTTTTCATAAAAGAATACAGATTTTTAATAAAAATAAACTAAAATTCACCTCTCTTGAATCTTTGGTCTTCAGTATTTAAGATTACTTGTAGAAATTCGAAAGTTTTCCGGAACATTACTCGCAAACCGTAACTATTCCTTTTCGTTCGATTCCATACCATATAAAGTTATAATTCGTATTACTTAACACTAATAGATGGAATTGTCTGAAGAATTTTGAATTTATTCGGAGAAAAATTTTCATTCTTAATTTTGACTATTTCATTCTATTATTCTATTCTTGTTTTGTAAAGATCAGGTAGTTTTATATTCTTCGACCATTAATTAAGTAGATTATTGGAAAAAATCGAAGGAAAGAAGATATATTTATATGACTAGATAATGGGTGAACGTGACCAATTCGGTAAATCATCCTCTATGCCAGACAAGTTTCCAGAGACGCGTGATATACTGTCAGTTCTTTGTTTTCAATCTATTTTGTTTATTTACTCATCGGAGAACATAAAAAGACTTGAACATTAGGATAAAAAGCATTAATAATATGAAAGATAAAACAGTCAACACTAATAATTAAAATATACAGCCATTAGAAAATTTGATAAAAAATGGTTTTGAAAAGTTTTTGAAACACTTAATTCTATAGTTACTCTAATTTGTTGATATTTACGCAATTTCTAAAGAGAATAATGATCGGGTAAAAAGCCAATATTTTTAATTTTAATTTTGAGAGAATGAATGATAGACAAAGATAGATAATAAATGGTCAAAATTTACTTAGAGCATTCGCTAAAATCCAGGTAGATCTTGCTATTCGTCAGTACTGAAGCGCCACCCCATATCGAGGCCATTTGTTAGTATAAGTAGCGAGATTGTGCACATTACCGCCTTGCTCGGCCTGTCGTGTAGTTTACATCACTTGGTACTCGGCAGTGGTCAATCTATCTGATTATGGATCAGGCTCAACGCTGGTTAACTTCTGTGATCGGACCAGAACCGTTCTTTCAACGTGATACAGCTCTATGTCTTAGAATATCAAATGCCAGGAGTTGTAGGTCAAGTCCTGAAATGACACGGTATATAAAAGGCGGGCCTTTTCCACATGTCAATTTTCCTGCTCTATATTTTCCCTTGTTTAAATCGAAATTAATTTCAGTAAATACCAATAACGTCGTCATAGTCCTGAGTTCAAATCTTGCCGGTGTTGATTTTTCAGAGTGTCTCTTCTTGATAATATCGGCTTGAGGAGACAATTTCAACATTGTTCACACCAACCTAATGAATAAAAGTCATAATCCATCCGGACCGATGGTGTGAGTGTACGGACCTCGTTCAACTACTGATCACGCCAACAAGGATTAGGTAAACACTCTAGCAGACAGGTGTACACTGGAAAAAGGTCATCTATCAATTATTATTAAATATCACTCACCATATAGCTACAGATTATTAATATATAGACACGTTATAGTCGTTACAGAACGAATTTTTCATTGAAAGAAGTATATAAAAATTGCTACTTCTTGTAAATGACTCACTTCAAAATAAGATTATAAATACAGAAGTCCTATTTCGTCATTTTTTATTTTTAGTTCGTTTTGAAGTACGTTTATATATATATATATATATATATATATATATATGAGTGATAGAAATTTGAAGGATTTGAGATAATTATAATTAAGTAATTTATGGAGTCTAGAAGAAACCTCAACAGGATGCAGAAAGTACTGGACGGCCATTTCGTCCTATATTTTGGACTCATCAGCAGTAGTCGTGGCTCTTGGGAGGCACATTCCTATGGGTAAAAGAGAAACTTGGATGAGTTTCACCACGGAATATGTGATCGAGCGGCGCTATATCGAGTTTGATTCGCTACCGATTCGTTATCGAGGCCCGTTGAAATAGTTGGTATGACGTTTGGCTCATAACGTAACTACCCGCGTTTCAATTCTCGGTAGTGGATGCGCACTGCTGATGAGTCCCACATATAGGACGAAACGGCCGTCCAATGCTTTTCTGCGTTCTTTTGAGGTTTCTTCTAGACTCGAGGAATTATATATATATATATATATATATATATATATATATATATATGTATATATATATATATATGCCTTTAAATTCCTTGAGGAATATAGGGCCGCAAGATATCGTTGCGGTTTTGTATCAAGCTAGTTTTTAAGGGATAAGGTTGTCAGCCTACTGCATAACCCCCAACCTGGAAGATCAGGTTTTGAATTTTTGTCTTTTTCCTAGACCAGTTAGCACACAAGTCTATAGAAGCCAGTCTGTACTACTATTTACCCATACCTTTCCAAAGGGTATTAACACGTAAGTGAATGTTATGGATTCGACTTGAATTCGAACTCGGTTCACCGATTCCTGAATCCGTTACTCCACCGTGCCTCCTCAGTTATAGGAACGTCGTATTTCGGGACACAAAGAGGAAAGAGGAATTAGAGAATTTGATATTCACAGGACATATTGAAGACAGGAGGGGAAAGAATGCTTGATTCAATTGATCTGTTTTTTATGTTTTATCAACCTCTTGAAGATTAAAGCCATACTCTTTTTTAGATTGAATCATTTGGAGATAATAATGCTGTTAATAATGCAAGTCTTACTAATTAACGCATAGTTGGGAGGAGAAGAGGTGGATTCATGCCTTTCCCAATGGCTAAATGCACTTAAGTGGATATAACGAACTCGACTGGAATTGGAACTCGGCTCTCCAATTCCTGTTCGTTATCCATTACATCATCCGCATATCCAAGATTGCAGCACCTGGTATTCGCAAGCGGTTACCCATCTAGGTATTGATGAGGCTCGACGTTGCTTAACTTCTGTGATCTTACGGTAACTGGTGTTTCGAAGTGATATAACCGTAAGCCAAAAGGAAAACAGTGTTTATTAATGTTTTGTGTCCTTTTTAAAGTTAATCAAGCCTGAGCAGTTATAACGTTGTCACCGACTCTGTTATCACAGACAGAAAAAGACTATTTTGAGAAATAAATTTGGAATCCTGATGGATTTATGTTCATATTATGCGTTGTGTGCTTTTATTATTAAACCTATTTTAATTAAAGAAGAACAGGCATTGATTTTTGACTGGCCCTTGTAGAAGTAGCTTTATGTTAGAATGAGTACAATATGCTTTTCAGGGAATACTTATTGAAACCATTAATATCCTTGAGGTATTATTTATCTTTAATATCTAATTTTCATTCGCTATAGGTTGCATTGCTTTTTCTATGCTCATAAATTTTTAGAGAAGCAAAAAATTCTATGCGCAGGCAATATAATTGGTGGAAAAATGAACAGAAATTTTCTATCGATTCTGTCGATTAAAAAATGAAATAGCCACATCACGTAATCTTTTGTGTCCGATAATTGAATCGATAATAGGAATTTAAGGAGCTCACTGCAGTGTTCTTTTATTATGGAAAACTCTATGCAATTTTTTGACGTCTGTTTCATATTTCGAAAATTCAACTTTTATCATTTTAAAAATATAGGCGTAGCATGGTCACTCACCTTGTAGATTGAGATTGAAATATATTTATCGTTACTGAAGAAGGCGTATGATTTCCAACTCAGTGTTCGATACAAAGTAAAAAAAAAAAGAATTTTGCATCTTTATTATAAAGTGATGTGGTTATTCTTCAATTTCATATGTGGAACATTGACGCAATAAAATCTTATTACATATATTTATATATTTGTCCATTTTAGCAAACAGTCCCTTTGTAATTTCTTGGCTTGCAAACAGTGGTCAGTGTTAAATTGCTTCAAATTTCGTTATTGAATTTGTTCGTTACATCGTGGCAATAAAAGTAGAAAAAAAAAGGCAACCAAGTCAAACTAAACGAAAACAATGACTTTTAAACCGCCGCAAGATTTTTATATTCTTCAAACCTCGAACAGTGACCCGCTTGGTGACAACGATTTTGACGCTATAGTACCGCTTCTTTGTTGGATAAGAATGCCCTGAATGTTGTGATCAGTGCAGTCATATACTGTATAGGACCCACTGCTGAGTGTGTCAAGTCAGTAAATGACAAATGTCCTTTTCTTTTATTTCTTCCTTAAGTAAGAACTTTTAAAACGTTCTTATGGAATTTTAGCAGTCTTATTATTACTAACAGGGGTACATATATTACCAGGGATAATCCCTTTACACCGTTCATTTCATTCTGCGTCATACGAAGTTTACTTAATATCGAATAGGTCCCTTTTTTACTTTGTATTTAATTGTATCTTATGAAACTCATATTTAAATCAGAAATTTTACAGTTGAAATTTCTGTGACATATTATGAAGAACGATGGCTTGGAAAATGTTATGCATTCAGGGCATATTAAGAGCAGAAGGGGGAGAGAGACACACAGCAAGAAATTTATCTAATGAATTTGTGTGAATGGATGAATGATCCGGAACAAGGAGGGATATTAAAATGTCAAACATTGTTTAGAGCGACAGGAAGTTGTGTTGAGACATGATCACCCACGTTCTGGAAGAACAATGTACATGAATGATGATGATGATTTAATTGCTTAGATTCAATCACAGAAACTAATGTAGGCATAAGTTAGGCATTCGAATGTTAGTATTAGAAATTGGCTGGATCTCCTCATTTGAAAATCTGGCGCAAGATTGTCTTTTATCCTTGTTCTGATGAAATCATGATATGAACCCTATTGTCTGGATAAATAATTACATGTTTTCTATTTGTGACATGAATCTGTATTGAAGAACCATATTGTTTTTCAAGGATGGTAAAGCACTCTGACTTGGAAAATTGGCGGTATACAATCTTATTATTTTCCTTTCTCAGCCTATTATTTTACTTAGAGGAGAAAAAACAGGGTTTCATATACCCCCACCTCGAACATAGCAAATCAGTATATTAGTTAATGGATTAGTTAATGGATTATGTAATAGATTAGGTAATTAGATTAGAAGAAGAGGAGGAGGTTGATTTGGTCATTTTAAAAGTTACATTTAAATACGCCTTCAGGTGAAAAATGGAATATTTAGAGAACACTTAGTATTTTGAAATGTAAAAATGTCTCAAGAGACGTGATTTCTCAAATTGTTCATTCGACATTCTATGAATAAATTCCATTAAAATGTTTTACTAAAAATCAACTGCCTTTTAACGTGTTAGAACAGATTGATAAAATTAAACATTACACACACACACATATACATACATACACACACTCACACACACACATATATATATATGTAAATATATATATATATATATATATATATATATAGATAGATAGATAGAGAAAGAGAGAGCGAGAGAGAGAGAGAGAGAGAGAGAGAGAGAGAGCGAGAGGAGAGAATGCATTAATACTTGACCAAATACAACAACCAGGCAATGGACATATTATACTGTAAATGAACGTTACCATAATGGCATATTTTTATTATAGATGTTATAATAAATATTGTAATATGCATATGTTTATAGTTTTCCGCAGTCTTTTATTTAGTTAAATATGTAATGATTGCTTCATTTATAGACCAAAATATACAGACCATAGACCAGAAGTTTATATTCAACCATAATGATATTTGCCAGGAGGAAGCAACTCTTATTGTACATGAAAACTAGCAGTCCTTTCTACAGCATCATCTGAATGGACATAGTTACATCCCTATATGAATGCTAACAGCGATTTATTATTATATAATATATTCAATACTCTCTAATCAATATCTTTCAAAAACATATTACAATTTTGGCAGCTTCTTCGAAACCCAGTCAACGACTGGTATTTCTGTTAGTATATATATATATATATATATATATATACTATTTCATATATATATATATATATATAAACATTTTTTTCACTTAACTCGTGCTTATTTCGGAGTTTAGTGTCAATATTGACATAGCCACACTTCGGAACAGAGTTGATCTGCTGTCATAACTCGGTTCTCTTGTTCTTTTGTTGGTATGAGGGTGTTATTTTTTTTTTTCGTTTTAATGGGTATTACTTGGTTGCTGATTTCTCTTCCTCTTCTTGCCAGGCGTATATTTGCGTTTGCGTCTATGTCTGCGCACGAATGCACGCATACACAAACCAAAGCACACACACTCACATCCACCCGTACTTTTATGTTTATGTGTTCGTGAATGTACGTCTGCGTGCTTGTGTTTGTGTGTGTATTTGTGTTAATCGAATTGCGAGCCTAATTGTGTTTGTACTTGTGTGTGTGTGAGTGTGTTTGTTTAAACTGTATATGTATTTTAGTGTGTTGCATTATTAAACTTTACTTAGTATTTTAATATATTTTAGTAGGTTGTATTATTTAAATTTAGTTTTTTTTTTAACTTTGCTTAGTGTTTGATACATGTGTTTTGTGTGCTTTTCCGCTATTTTAGATTTAGTGTTTGTGTGTTTTTGCTTTTTGTAGAATATATTGGGGGTATTTTATTTGTGTTATGTGTGGATGTGTATTATTTTGTTGATGTTGTGGGTGTTGTGAAGAGGGTTTGTGTGTTTTGTTGCGTTTTATAAGTGCGTGGTTGTGTTGATTTATGTTGGATTTTGTGTGTGTTTTTTATGGTTGGGTGATATTTTGTTGGCTTTTGTTAGGCATGGTATATTGTGTTTGTGACGGCATTTCGTTTTTCGTTGTATTTGTTTTCTTTTTTATATTAGTATTTAAGTAGCAAAGTAAATGCTTATCTAAATGTCTGCATTTCCTAGTTATTTCATTCCTCTTGTTCTGCAAGTTGTTTTGATCCTTGAATGTGATGATTGTTAATTTTTAATCCATGCACAATTTACAGTTTTTGCTGTTGCTGTTGCTGCGGTGTGGGGATGATTTTTTTTTATTTCCGATTTAATCTTGGTAATGATGTTATTTTGTTTCTAGCTCCATATCTATTTTGATAGTGTTCAGTTGTTTTTTTTGTTTTAAATGAAATTTGATAATTATTGAATCTTTATTTAAATGTTGTTTCTTTAGCTTCTATGTAGGTTTTTTCTTTCGCATTTGTGTTTTTTGTTACGGTGGCTGTATATATTATGCTGTTGGTTAGGCATTTGTTGTTAAGTAGGTAAATATTTTTTAATTGACAAATGCATCTTTTGTTGTTCTGGTTATTGTTGTCTTTATTGAGTATTTTTTTTATTGTGTTTTGCTTATTATTTTTTTCAATGTTATCCATGCAGCTGTAACTGATTTTTACTGTATTTTTCTTGATGATTTTTGATAGTTTGTTTTGTTTGGGGAAATGTTTTTCAATTATTTTGAAAAATATTTTCTCCAATTTTTGTTTTTATTGTATTATTGTAGGTGAGTTGAACAAGATTATCTTTCTTTTTCTGTTGTGTTTGGTTAATTTGTTTTCATATGTATATTCTAGTTTTTCGGATAATCGCTATTTTTTAATGCTGTTTCATATAATTGTTTTTATTTTTGATTTGGTTGAATATTTCTATGTTACTGGAATTTACTGGTATTCATTTTATGTATATGGGTATGTGTTTGAATACATTAGGAACTTGGTTGGAATTTCTGTTGATGTATATATAATTGTTGCTTGCTTTCTGTATGATTTGTGTATGTTGTTTTTTTTCAGAATGAATGTTATATCTAAGAATTTTACAATTTTTACGTTAGATTTTATGTCTATTTTAAATTCTAAGGTATTGAAGTTTTCTATGATCTGTTTTCATATTTATTTTTTCCTGTAGTTCCGCCATTGCAATTTCTCACAATTATTAGGTCGTCGTCCCTGTATAAGCCCATGTCTTTTTGGTTACTAATGTGTGCTAATTAATTGATGATGTATATGCCTATAAGTTTGCATAATACACCGTCATAGCAGCCCATTTTTACATCATCGTCGCTATTGGTA